TTTCCGTGTTTTCACTGTTATACACTTGGGGGCGCTATTACGCATCTTCTGAACGAGTACAAAACCTCCCGAACAAAAACACACGTGAACAGGACGGAGAAACCAGCGATCTCTTATGTAAACAGATGCATATGAAAAATAATGCGATCATCAGCAATAGACAGCATATACCGTATTTGCCCGAATATAAGACGACCCTGATTATAAGACGACCCCCCTTTTTCCAGATGTACCTTTTGGAAAAAGGCTTTTTAAAAACCAAATCTTGTTTTTTTCTCAGTAAAACACATTTTGTCTTCAATTATTTTCATATTGCATATTTTTCCTATTTTAATTTTTGTTTTGAAAGTATGGTAAAAACTGGTAAACTGTACCAACAATCACATTTAAAAAATATACACTTTTTGATATATCATTAAAAAAAAAAAACCAGGTAGCCCATCTGAATTAGGACATTTAGGCTATCCATCTAATAGTAGCCTACCAAAATCTTATTAACAGTAGAAGTTAAATCTTACTGTAGTCTTCAAATCTGGGTACTGTCTTACGTTTTAAAATCACAAAGGGAGTTTGGTCCCATCAGGCTAACGTGACAGTCACGACTCATGCAGCTGTAAGGTTTTCTTATTCTTTTGTTTTTACTCGCGATCTTTACAACACGCATTACATTACGTATGTCATGGCACACTCGTTTTATGCGTATTTGGCACCACCTATTGTTGTGGGTGTATTATTGACATGTCAAAGTCTAGACCCTGAATATAAGACGACCGCGTTTTTTCAGATGTATTTATATATATATATATGACTTTCTTTGTTCTGTGTAAGACAAAAGGAGATGTTTCACAGCAATATATTCCAATCAATCTGCAAAAGGACAAAAAAACTAAACAAAAAAAGCGCCATAAAATTGTCCATATGCTTGTGTGTTATATTTCAAGTCTTCTGAAGTCCTACACTTGGTTTGATGTGAGTAAAAACAAATTGCATTGTTTCTTGCATGTTAGTTGACTTCAGAAAACTTGGAATATAGGAATGGAATTTAATATTGATATGCACAAGTCATGCAGACTACTTTTATAGTTGACTCTTTGTCATTTTTACTTGACATCCCCTTTTTATCGTCTACTTTCATCATATGACAAAGAACAGTGTAAACACTCAGCCCAACATCTCTTTTTGTGTTACCTGGCACAAAGTAAGTCACAAGACTTTAACAAAGTTTGCTGACAATTTTAATTTTGGGTGATTCCTTAAACTGGGAGAGGAAAACACTGCAAAAAGCCAGACAGACTCTCAGTGAAATATTGAGATAGATCAAGTGAAATTTATGTTAAGAGAAATAAAAGGAAAAGTAGACAGAGATTAAGAGGGTGTTAAGACTGAGAGTACAGGGCAGAGTGTATAAATAAATCTCTGCACATCACAAATGTGTGTGTGTGTGCTCCCACCGTTTGTTATGTAAGTGATGGCAGGCGGGTGGGACT